GAACCAAAAATTCGACATTTTTTATTTTAGTTCAATTCTAGTGAAATATGTTTAATATGAACCGAATAAACATACTATGAAGTTTCAGCTCAATTGAAGTAAGCATTTCCGAGATATTCGCAATTAAAAATTGTTATTTTTTGGCCCTTATCTTCGTAGAGCAGTCGGAAAAATTGTCGGTAAAAACAGCTTGTGACGTCAATGTTGGTCAGGTGAAAAAAAGCGGGAAATTCAAAACAGTGTTTTTCGAGTCGACTTGGCGCAGAAATTGTGGTGGTTTGTGCGGCCATAAACCTAGAAAGAACAAGCAATTTGTCTTCAAGAATTACAAGCTGTGGTTATTACCTTATTATTTAATTTTCTTGAAGAATACATCATAGTATTAAAAACGGACTTTAACGACGGCATTAATTTCCTTGCGCTGTACTGGAAATGTGTGTACTGTCGCACTTTGTAATAATCGTCGCACTTATAAAATTGTCACACTTTGTAATACCTGTCGCACTTTGTAATGAAAAAACTGTCGCACTTTGTAATAACAGACCATCGCACTTTGTAATAAAAAATGCTGTCGCACTTTGTAATAACACTTGTCGCACTTTGTAATAAACTTGAAATAGATGGTTGGCGGACAAGTAAACCCAGTAATAAGTGTCATCATCGACAACAACAACAACGACAATAATAATAATGTGTTCACATCAACTTCTGGCTTCAAGATCTTTCTAGGGAAGTACAACTCTTTATATGCGGACGACCTCGATAGAGAGAAAGTGTCTACGCCTATGACAGGGAGAGTCGTTAAAAACGGGAGTTTGTATTGGAATTTCATTTAATTGATTGTTAGTAAAAGTAATTAAAGGTGTCCTTCAGGCGAAACGTGATCGTATAAGCAACATATTTTTAAAGTTTTACTACTAGCACAGGAAACTAGAAAACCTATGATTTCGTCACCTGCGAGGTATTACTTGAGACATATACAGAGATATTACTTGATTTGTATTTATTACCATGAATAAGCAATACTGTATTTCATAAAACCAAATGAAAATCACAAACTCAGAGCACAACCAGGTGCCACAATCATTGTCATCATCATCATTATTGTCACTATTATTTTCGCACTAAAATGTTCTTTAAAACATTGCATATCACGTCATTGTGCCACGATGACCACTACTAATGTTGTGGAAATTTCGAATACGCTGGAACCTACATGAAACGGCATCATTGTGATAAATACACAGAACCAGTGTTAGATCTGGATATAGTTAAAGGCTACGTGCTGTGTACAGCTGAACATTGTTCTCTGAGATCGCGTAAACCTAAACTTTACGGAGATATTAAAAGCAGATACCCTAAGCTTACAGCAGCTATGGAAAAATTATTATATTTTTGAGTAGACAAATCTCATAAACGGGCCACAAATTCAACAGGAATACGCGCGAACTGAACAAATTGTCTGTTGTACATTTTAAAGGTTCTGCTCAACTTACCCAATTTTCCCTTGCTGAACATGAACTGTACCGAGCCGTACCTTGGTCCGCTATATATAAGCTATATCATGGTTCAAATATTGAACTGTAAGATCCCTGAAAGAGTTCTCCTCAATGGAGCAATATGTAAAAGGTTTTCAAAGGTTTCACGCCGGTGAAGATGTGCGGCCTGTCACCTCTTGCAAGTTTTTACTTTATTATTATTATTATTATTATTATTATTATTATTATTATTATTATCATTATTATTGTCGTTGTTGTTGTTGTCGATGATGACACTGATTACTGGGTTTACTTGTCCTCCGACCATCTGTTTCAAGTTTATTACAAAGTGCGACAAGTGTTATTACAAAGTGCGACAGCATTTTTTATTACAAAGTGCGATGGTCTGTTATTACAAAGTGCGACAGTTTTTTTATTACAAAGTGCGACAAGTGTTATTACAAAGTGCGACAGGTATTACAAAGTGTGACAATTTTATTACAAAGTGCGACAGGTATTACAAAGTGCGACGATTATTACAAAGTGCGACAGTACAATGTGCGTGCGTAGGTCCGGTTTTTTCAAGATGTATTCACAAAATGTCTTCATATAAGGAAGTTTCTGGATATATAAGGTCCGGAGCTCCACTGTGGACACAAAAACAAAATATCTTTGTAAAGTGATTTGCCCAGAGAAATTCACGCTTGCCCACAATGTGTTTGAAGTCATTGAACTTTATCGCACTAGAGCTGATATTTTAAAACCCACGCTCGATCGCACACTTTTGCTTCGCAGAACACTAAAATATAAACAAAATCCTCAATGTAGAAGTTTTGGCGTTGATATGAGGGCACAAAAAAAGTTTATCTTTATCTAGCAAAATCTTCCCCAAAATCGGTTTCAAAGCAACTACAGTTTTTTAAACTTGATCGTTTCGCGCAGATAAAGTTTGCTTTGTGTTGTCACGTTCTCAAAAACCAAGTAAGATTTCCTTCAACAAAGGTGACTTCTCTCCAGTTATTTATATGATTTAATTACCGACTGAGGTCACTTTAAGGACCATAGACGCCGCTTTAAGCTCGCAAAGAGAGGCGACAAGCAAAGAACAGTTCCATCATGCATAAAATCCAGCTTAAGTGAACTAAAAAAAGCTTCAATAAGGTTGCAAAACAACAAATTTCCACTCAAAAAACATAAGGCTTAAGGCTCTTATACCTGCTGACAATGAAGAAGTGAATCTTCTGTGCGAAATAACCTACCTAAAGATCTTATTTCAAAAGATCAGTTGCAAGCTTCGCACCCAAGCCATGATTCACCATTTAGCTATTTTTAAAAACTGGTCCATGCCAGGGTCTTCATTGAAGCAAAATAAACTCAGCAAACTGAATCATTAGAAAGTACAGAAAACTGCACATAAGGGTTTGTTTTGCTTGTTTCAGTCAAATCCAGCTCCAGCAATTGTTTACGGGCAAAGAGTCAATTGTTTTGAAGCCACTGCCGGCAGTTGACGTTCTCAGCTACTTCACAGCGAGTGAAAAGGGAAATTTGCGTACAGAAAGGAAATAAAAGTACGTAACTAAAAATGAAAAAGAAAAAAAAAATACTCTGACTATTATTACTTGAGCAACGGAAAATTAAAGTGATCGAAGTAGTCTGTTCTTCTCGACTAAGCTTGCTAGCCTTCTATAGTTCCGAGGGAGTTTTAAGCGCTCACCTCGTGTATTTCATTCAGTCTCAGCCAGAACTCTCACAGAACGAGACAAACAAACGCAGGCGATAAGGGACGCGCAGAAGCTTGCGCAGAACCTTTTTCCGCCCTGAAAGACCAACATTGACGTCATAGTCTCCAGTCTATCACGCGGCCATTTCAGAAACGTTTTCGTGAAGTCTTCGGAAATGTTCGGATTTTGATCTTTTGTCTTCCTTTAAAGGCTTGGGAAGAAAAATCTTTACCCAAATCTCACTTAGGATGGTTCTTTTTAGTGTTTGGTGAAGGTAAAGCGACAAAAGAAAATATTTCAATTTTTTGGTTCATTTGACCTTTAAGTTAACTGTCTGAGGCAGCCGTGGCTTATACACAAGCGACGTATTTTTTTCTCACCGTTTGAAGGGATAGGACATTCATTAAAATTTAGCGAGATACAAGGCTCCTGAAATCAGCTAATATCTTACATTGTTATGTGGCTGGAAATTTCTTCTTAACAGCGGGCGCTCTCATTGGTTACTTCGAGGGCACATGACATCTAACAATGAAACTGTTTCACGCCAAAATCTCTGAGCGAGCAACATTACAAAATGTATGACATCAGAGGGTAACAGTGCACTGTTACCCGCGAATGTTGATCAACGACCGCCGTTACAGCTAGGTTTAATGAATTTCCAGCTTCAAAATTTCCAGCTATATAACAAATCACGAATCTCGATGTTTTCCTCGGTTTTGCCTCTGAAAACTTTGAGATTCTAGGGAAACAAAATTGACTGTTTCCCTCTGGACCAGTCATTAAGGATTTACAAGAGCCATAATGGCTCTTGGGGTTTATTATTCCCTCTGAATGGAATGTCTGTTGACTGCAAGGCAACCGAAGAGCTGTCAGTTTCTCCTGCTCATGTTAAGAGCTGATCGGAGAGAAAGAATGTCAGCTTCATCGGTGACAATTTCGTCTGACGGCATGTACAGGATACATCTACAAGGGTATTTCCAGGCTCCGGGATTTGACTGAAATACAGTGCGGGATTCGGGAAACGTTAACAGGATACGGGATTTGACTGCTTCTGCGGAAGAGGGATTCTCCAAAATTTGGGCACGGATGCAGGATTGGGAAAGAAAACGATATACGGGTATGTACAGGGTCTGGAAGGGTATTCTCGCACGAAATACAGGAGGGATTCGGGAAAACGCCAAATTTCTTTACGCGATACGGGAATTGACCGCTACTCGGGAAGCGGGATTCACCAAAATCTGAAAGAAAACGGTATTCGGGATAGAGGGATAGAGATGACAGACGTTCGGGGTGCGGGATTGTGGTGAAAGAGAGCGGAAATACGGGATCAGGACCCCTCCACCCCCCCCCCCC